ATAGTGAGCAATATGGAACAATGTAATGTATAGATAGTGAGCAATATGGAACAATGTACTGTCTAGATAGTGAGCAATATGAAACAATGTACTGTCTAGATAGTGAGCAGTATGAAACAATGTACTGTCTAGATAGTGAGCAATATGGAACAATGTACTGTCTAGATAGTGAGCAGTATGAAACAATGTAATGTATAGATAGTGAGCAATATGGAACAATGTAAAGTCTGGACAGTGAGAAATGGAGAACAATGTAATGTATAGATAGTGAGCAATGAAGAACAATGTAATGTCTAGCTAATGATGAATGTGTAGTCTATATAGTGGGCAATAGTGAACAATGTATATATATATATATAATGTTTTACTCAAACTACTCAACATAAAACATGCCTTTATTAAAGGTTTATTGTCTTAATGTGACGTTAATTATTTGTACTATTATTAAACCGTTAGGTGTCTGTCTACAGGCCTTATAGTACCACTGTCTACCCCATTTTATATCGCACGTTTACATTTTCTGGTTAAAGTCAAGTTGCACGAGAGCTTTCATTACCCTCTGTTTTACCAAGCTTATAGTGCATGCACTCAAGAGCTTTCTTCTAACATAACACAGCTGCAGGTTTTTTTCATAAAACAAGCATATAAATACCTTGAATTGTAAATAAATATTACCTTAGTGTTGTGATCATGAGAGATAGCCTTATTTAGATTTCTAATTAACCCAAAAGCACTATAAATACAAAACAACTATCATTAATGTAGTTTGTCAGGTGTTGCTTCCTGTGTATTTTTCAAACAATAATAACAAAGATTAAGATAAGCTGATTTGCTCACTAAGGAATTGTTTTCATTCTTTTAGTTCACATTAAAGAGAGTGCACCCCTATCGCGCCCTCTGGTTGTTACGTAGGTAATCTTTGACAGATTGGCAAGATTCCAAAAATAACATAAGAATATATGCTTACAAAAAACTCTCAAAAATAGTCTTTAAATATTTTACATTATGTTAAAAACGTGTTATTGTTATACTTTCGAATCCAAATAAACGAAACTCTCAAGACTCAAGGTTAGTTCCTACGTCTGTCTATGCACATAAACGGTTTTACACAACAAAACAGAAAGATGATTGAAACTTTACTCTTTTCTAGGAAATGTAATAAATACAAATGAGTTTGGGCATTCCGTTAAAATATAGAACTATTTAATGTATTTAAAAGGGAACTAATATTTTTTTACCAAAAACAATGTCACGTTGGAGAAAAAAGTACGTAAAACAAACAAAAAATTATTTTCTGTGTGGAGTACTTACTATCTTAT